GGGTAGCCAGTTGACCTTGGACCCCCAGAGGTTTTTTTCCTCCCTACTTGGAACTTGGTGGTTTCCTCTCCTCCATTGTTATCTGACTTTTTCTTTGATTTCGGTGTCTTCCCTTTTCCCTGTCTTTGTATAATTCTTCGTGATATTGTAATGAATGACAACACACCTATGCAAGGAGACTCGGGACGACTGTTCCGGAAGGCGCTATATAAAAACAAATTTAATTGAATATAACGGTACCAGAGAATAACAACAGTGGGATGCCGGAACTGCAAGGAACATATTGTGATTGATACTGACGAGCAAATTTCCAGAGCTCAGTCCATTTTTTGTTGTTTGTGAGATGAGACCGCCAGTGAGCTAAAGTCAGGCTTCCTCATTATATTGCAGTATTGGGGAACCAAATCTCATTCCTTCCTTATGTAATATCCTGTGTAGTGTATCCTGTGGACCCAGTGAGTTTTGGAAATTTGTTCTTCAGTTATTAAAATAGTAGTGAAGGTAAGCAGGAGGGGTTAGTGCAGTGTTTCCCAATCTGGTCGTCAGTGACCTGCAAACAGTGTACATTTTTGCTCCCTCCCAGCTGCTGGTATCAAAAACGTGCACTGTCTGTGGGTCCCAAGGACCCGATTGGGAAATACGGGGTTAGTGAGTAGGATGTGCTGGTGTTTGCAGTTTGCTGCTTAACCACACCGGCTGTCAGTTATTGCTACCTTCCCACATGGTGTGACTCGTATCGCCACCAGCAGCCAACTGCTGACTGCAGGATGAACATTGTATGTAAGGTGCCTGGCATTAAGCTAAGAAGACATAGAAGAGAGTATGGAAACAAAGCACCCCTTTTTTTGGGGTGGGGGGGTCTTTAGATCAGTTAAGATCAGTAAAATACATTATTCTAGCCACCTCCCTGTCCATGGTCCATGTGCCGAAAATACATGCTGCAATATGATGAAGTTATTTTTAGCTGATACACCTCCACAGTGCATGCAGTGAGCTCACCTTACTCAGGGCTCCTACTGTAGTGACCAAGGATTGGGAGCTACCACTCGATGAAGAAGGGGGGTCTGACGGCAATGGAAGTCTGGAGAGACTCCTGCAAACGCAATGATATACGCTGTGCAATAATGCTGCAGTCTTGGCTTGAGGAAATATAATACAACAGCTGTAGTTACTATATGATTAATGAGAGAAACGCAAAGCAAGCAACAAGAATGAATCACTTCAGTGATAATAACCGGGTATATGACTACTTCCTACTGCTTGCTGTACAGGATTGTGAGTATAACTATAAATACAATGACAGATTAAAAAGCTCGTCTTCCTCCCTCAGGAATGCCAGCTTTTGGCTAAATCATTTGTAAAATTTTACCTTAGATGGGTAGTTATATGTAAGGTTGGTTTTAGTAGCTCTGTAGTTCCTGGGCATGTAGGACACCTGCAGCATTATTTACCTGGACCTCTCCAGCACCATGACTATCCTCCGGGGGTCCTTCCTGAGCCAGCGCTCCTCTTGCCTGCATTCATCAGTCGCTGCAGTCTGAGGGAGCCCATCTTTCCATGCTTCGCCTTCCGGAGTGGGTCGCTCCCTTTTCTGGGAGCCCTCTGCGGCGTGTCCCTGGTCCTCACCTTCCAGTTTCTCAGTCTGCCACTCTGCTTCCCCATGCATCTGTTCCTCCATGCTTACCCTCTGCCTGGACGGTGGTGGCCCGTCTCCCTGTCTTGGCAGGTCCAGCTGCCCCTTCACTTGCAGGTGCCTCTGGGCTTCCAGCTCCAAGCAGGCATTTCGGTGTGCTGCCTTCAGGACCTCCAGCTCTGAGCAGGCATCTCGATGAGCCGCCTTCTGGGCCTCCAGCTCTGAGCAGGCATCTCGATGAGCCGCCTTCTGGGCCTCCAGCTCTGAGCAGGCATCTCGATGAGCCGCCTTCTGGGCCTCCAGCTGTAGGCAGGCATCTCGGTTTGCAGCTCTTAGCGTCTCTAGTTCCAGGCAAACATCTTGGTGTGCTGCCCTTAGTGCCTCCAGGTCCACACAGACATCTTTCTGCTTTGCTTTCTGTGCCTCCAGTTCCATACGGGCATTGTGGCTGGCTGCCTTCTGGGCCTCTAGCTCCAAGCAGGCATCTCGGTGGGCAGCCCTTAAAGCCTCTTGTTCTAGGCAGAGGTTTTGATGGGCAGATCTCTGTGCCTCCAACTCCAGGACTGCTTCCTGGTGATGCTGTTGGCTCTCCCGGAGCATGCAGAGGTCCTGCTCAGCCTCCACGCGCAAGCGATCGGCCACGGTGACCGCCACCTGCAGGTCTGCCTGGAACTGCAGCCATTCACTACGCTCCGTCTTTGTGCAAAAATGAAAAAGAACTTCAGAATATTTACTGACCTATACATTGTATAATTATTAATAAGCCCACATAACTGCTGAATGTAATTTATTGGTAGCATGATATTAATTTGGTCTACCATGTTGAGGGGGAAAATGAACGAAAATATTGCCATATTTTATGCTTTCTATATGAAAAGTGCACCAGGAAGTTATATTTTAAATAATTTCATGACATTAGCTGGATCAGTGTTTTCAAGCTCAAACTTAAACTGAAACTTAAAGTCATCAGTCAAGATTTTAAACCACAAAGGCAGCTGGACAAACGGTGACCTCACCAAACTTCATGCTAACCTCCAAGGTCTCCGTAAGACTCTGCACCTTCTTCACAAGCTCCTCCCTCTCCTGCAAAAGCCGCCTGAGCATATCTGACTCAGGCAGAATTTACGTCAAAGAAAGGACTCGATTCAAGGGCAAAGAGATGGGCTTTCAGCCCTCCTGCAGCATCTAAAGTCCAGGCACACAGGTCACTCCCATGTAACTGAAAGAACTGAGATGTGCAGTGTATTGCTTTTAGCAGAATACCAGGCATGAATAACAAAGACTGGTCTACCATTATCTGTCATGCAGCTGTGACTGGGGGCGTGCGACCAATGCCAGTGCTTACCCGCCAGGTCCACTGTCCCATCCTCCCCCGAACTCAGGTCTGCTAAGTTCCCACAGAGCTCCAGCAGAGCCACAGTGCACAGTGGCATCTCCTCCGCCGTGGTGACACAAACCTCCTCCAGCGACGTTCCCGTTCCTCCCTGTCCAGCGCCCTCCTCTCGTCCACCTTCCCCGGGGGACCACTTCGGGGTGGGGTGCGAACCAGTGCTCACTGGGGTCCCGGGAGCGGCGTGAGATCCCACCTTTACAGGAATCATGGTCGGGAAGTTTATGAGAGTGACAGGGGCGGAAGATGAGCGCGGGCTGGGGGGGGCGCTGTCGCTCGACGAGCCCAGAGTCCATCCGTTGTCCATCTGTCTCCGGCCACGTTCTGGACTGACCGCAGCCCAGACCTGCGGGGTCCCTCCGCCGACAGGCGAGCCCTCAGATCCCACTGTGTGTGCATCCTGCTGCCCTGCGCCTGCTGACGGAGACACCAGCATCCCGCGCTGATCAGGAATGACCGGCGTTGTTGGAGGGGTGTGGAACAGATCCAAATAGGAGCCTGCAGAGAAGACGTGCTCAGTCTGTGCCCCCTCCTCGGCGCCCTGTCATTCATCGGATGGTGCGGCGGCCGGGGAGCGAGCTTTGCTCTTAGGGTGTCCTTCTCCTCTGCCTGTATGCGGCAAACCCTGCGTCTCATCTACAGCTGTCTGCTGCCCCGCCGGCTCGCAATTAAAAACAGCCGGAGACTCGCTCCGCGTATGTCTGCATGCATGCACGCGCACGCAGGCATCCGGCCGCGGCTCTGAACCTGAGCTCGTCCCGCACTCCCCGACTCCCCGCTGAAGCCTGATCTTTCAGCTGACTCATCAGCCGGCCGGCAGCAGCGCGGCGGGCTGTGGCGGTGCGTAAGGAAAATGGCACCCAGGGCTGTGAGCAGCATGCATATCGATCCGGGAAGTGACTGCCTCCCTGCCAGTGACTGGCTCTGATTTTACTCTGAAATTTGATTCTGCTTCTTTGGTGGCAGGATACTTAGAGCAATGCAATGGGTTGTAAGTATACAGTATGAAGCAGTAAAATATCAAGAAGGAGTGTAAGGCAGTCCAGTGCATTCTGATCATACCAACTGAACAAATAAATGAAGAGGGAGCTGGTTTAAGTCTGGTGTACTGTGGTCTGGAAAAATAATAATCCTCTGCACATGTGCTGGACCCTGGGGTGATTCTTGCGAAATCTGTAGCTATATATGTCTCCTTCTATAATATGTGACAAAGTGAGATGTGGTGCTCTGTGTTGCAGCTCTCTGTCTCTGATCAGAAGGTTGGTAGTTTGAATCCTGTTACTGGGAGAGTGGTTGTTGTTGCTTAACTCTCAAAAAACCACAGGATTGACAGTCGCCCTAAAGCGTTGCTTCATGTTCTTCTAATAGAGGACTAATTTCTCCGTACTGGTACAAATAACAAATAAAGTGGCAACATCAAGACGTATCAGTGTTGCCAACTGCTCGTAAATTCATGTCAGACTCAAGTTTTGCTCCTCCAGCCATCTGACTGAATTGCTTACTTACAGTGACTCATTTGTATAAGTGTAACCTTCCCAAATGCTGAATGTATACACATTCCCTGGAGACACACATAATCATCTGCAGCTTTTAGATGTACCATCAATGAGGAGCTGTTTCACAAAAGGATGTGTGATCCAGACAAACATGCCCACCTCAGTCCGGGAACTGACAAAAGTTTGACATGTAAGCTTATGGACAGTTAGCCACCCTGATGTGAATTAATGTGTGTACATGTTACCTGTGGGGTGGTGCATATTCCTGCCTGTGAGGTTACCCATGATGCAGCAGGACTGGGACAGCCAATCACCTCCGTGTCCCAGTGTTTCTGTTCTGGGTCTTCCTGTGGAGCAAGTCAAGACAAAAAGATTTGATAAAAAGTTGCCAGACTGGTATTTCTGTTCTTCTCTCCAATGCATTATACAATCTGAGTGTCACTCAGGGCTGTTTTGTTGACTAGCTAAAGCTAGATTAATGTATGTTTATTGATCTCTTTTAATTCAGAACCATGAAATATACAGACAATAACCTTCTGTTTGTCTCCAAGCATCATTTAACACTCATACTGCTAATATTCAGGTGGAATTCATCTGGAACCATCAACTGCTCTCATTTCCCGAGGCTCATATATGTAATTATTGCTACTGAATCACTCTTCTCACCAGAACTGGCTCATGCTTTAAAAATATCCAAACTACCACTGACCGTAAAAACACGTTGGTAGTTTTACATGAACATTTCCATTCCCTTTTGTAGCTGATAAAACATACTAAAATTGGACCAAATTTTTTTTGCTAATAATTCTGCTAATGTAACTAACTGAAGCACTTTGGGCTCTGAAACACAAAAAGCGCATTTGCTTTTATTTGCTTTCCAAAGCTTTCAGTTTGCACCACTTGTACAGCTAGACATGTCACTGTTTAAGGTGCAAAGCATGTCCCTGCATGGGATTTAAGCCAACACCCTTCCGGCTACACGTTTATGCCCCCAACCATCCTTCAGCCTGATCGGGTGTGATCTGGTGCACTTGCTGATGATGCATGCCGAAAGATATATTAACCCCATATGTATCCTGTCATGAAGACAAATGGGGTTTGGGTCTCATCCAAAGTATGCGGTGCAGTTTTCGTTACAGTTAGGTTTTGCTTTTTTGTCTTTAGATCTTAACAGTAACGTCTGGATTTCCTGCTGTAAATCGTTTATTGGCCGGATGCTGGCTATGAGCTGTGACTCTTTGTGACTAAAGCAGTTTTCCCAGAATCCCGGAAAACCCTGTCGAAGTTCAGCTCCTCAGGGCCAGCAATAGATTCTGTATCAGTGCCAGGCCAGGCTGGTCCCACTTATACACACATGGTGAATCCCATTATGTGTAGCTGGGCAGGACTTGCTGAACATGACCCGAGTCTGGAAGGTCGGCCATACGGTCACTACAGACAGATGTCATGCTAATAGGAAATTCTGATTCCATCAGACCGTTTGCACTTCTTAAATAGTATTTTGCACTGTGTCATGTCGCAAACTGTTCCATGTCCAGCAGAGGTGTCAGATTCCTGTGAGCCTTGTGAATGTGCTGCATTTTATAAGAAATAAAACTGGTTGGAAAATGTACATTAACTAGCAGGCACTGACTGGACAAAAATAGCAATAGAAATGAAAACCAGTCGCTACAAAAAACTGACTGAAACACCCCAATAAGCACAAGAGATGCATTTCCCTGCACTTGGAAGGAGCAGTAGAGTATTAAAAACTTTCAAACTTCTAACCCTTAATTGGTTTAGAACTAGACTGTGCACTAGACTGGAGCTTAAGTAGCATTTATGGCCGTGAGTTAATCATCTTTCACATGATCAGGCTGTAAATCGTGCTGATTCGTAGATTCACCATAGAGCAACCGCAGTAACTGGCGCTGCTTGCATTGCTGTACATTAAAATACAGAGACGCCCTATTAACAATTAATACCGTAATCCCTTTCCTCCTAACTGTGCTGCGTCCGTTAAATGAAATAGCTTGTTCGGTCGATTCAGTGTGAAATTCACCCAAGCAAGAGTCGGCAGACTGGAAATCTCTTTCTTCTACCTCAAGTTTGAATACGGAGCAGATATGAAGCTCACAGAACTCAATTATAGTTTACTGACAAACCACTGTTGTATATACTTATTTTGGGCCAATGAATAAATAATTATTATGTTAGCTCATTTAATGATTTTTCTCATTTGATTAAATTTAACCAATTCAAAAATGAAGAAGTAAATGACTGACAAAAAAATTGCGCAATCCGGGCATACTAAACATTATTAGACTGAAACTAATTTTTTTTTCTTGTCAGTTGTTCTGATCCTATATATGTACATCGAAAATGATGGCATTTCCCGTTTTCGCGGCCCAGTCCATGCACGCGCCAGATCAGCGTTAACGCACCTTTTAACTGTCTGCCCGCTGCGTTTTGTGTTCCGATGCGCAGACCCCCTCCCAAAAATCCAGCTCCTCTCCTTCCTTCCCCCCACCGACCGTACACGTACTTGTCTTCCTCTGTGGCACTTGTTATTTATGATATAAATAAAAACGAGGCGCCCTCTTTAATTGAAGACACTAATCTATTATGAGTTAAACTCCGCAGCTCAGTATGCAGACTACCCGATGTATTGCGGGTCCAGGCAGAAGCTCCTTGCTTTCAATGCGGCAATCTTCATGTCAGGGTCTGACGGATTTCTCGGCTGCAAGAGTCCCCTCGGGTATCAGTTATGTTTCGCACAGAAAAGCAAATAATTTAAAACAAGGACACATATCTAATAACACTCGTGCCATTCTTTAAATATATTTAAATTCCATTGAAAAAGGTAGCTTGTCTGAGGTAGGCTACAGACTTTTAAGTGCCATATGAAAAAAAAGACATTTGAAACCCATTTCCTTTAAATCTTGTAAAAGAAATAGAAAAAATATGGATGTAAATTTAGTGAGAACTCTCCAGCCGTGTACAATCCACGCACTCTAACGCATTGCTTTATAGGAGCGCATCAGCCGCAATGCTTCAGTACTTCAGCTGAATTTAAAAAGAGGCGCGTACGTGTTACTTTGGAAAAGATATGGAAGAATAAACGCAACACCCGGGCTATATTACAATTTACCTAGACGGAAGGATATAAACATAGAAGACAATGTTAAATTGTAGCCCACTGCATGAGGGGGCCGGCTCGAGCGGCGTCTTATAAAACACGCACTTTGAGGCTACGTCAGTGGCCGCTGGTGATTTTTTTTTTAACCCGTGATAGTTAGCCTATTTAAACCATTCTTATCCCATTATACAGACTATAAGTTGAATAGGCTACTGTGTATTATTTATTATATATGGTGAAATGCGCATCTACTGTTTTAGTTGTAGCAACTGCTGTTTTGTTTCAAAGAATTTAAACTATTCTGAACTTTCTGACAACAAATTGCTTTCAATCGAGAGAAATTTACGGGGAACCGGGAGAATTTACGAATTACAATGGTCAGTTTCTGAGCTGATTTTTATTAATGCCTGGAACAAGAAATAGGCTACCTCGGTTTAAATAACACTTTATACAGCTTTCACTGTGTGCATGTGTAACTTAACGCATAAAAACCAACTATATTATTATCCTATGTGGTGCTTAGATTAATGTAAGTAGGCCTATGACATGAAGGCATATATTATTATCCTATGTGGTGCTTAGATTAATGTAAGTAGGCCTATGACATGTAGGCATCAGTTCCGTCCATCTACCATTTATTCTGAGCAGGGTTTCTTCAGGATGAGCACAAGGCAGGACACAGAATTCTAGCCCCCATATATGCACACAACTACAATCATACACTATTGATAATATTGTAGCGCTTGGCAGACCCAGGCATCGCGGCAGCAGTAATGAGAACAGGCGGTTTTATTGATCGCTCTTAAACGTACCGAACACAATCATCTAGTACACATATAACGGGAAATGCAGGGAGGTCTAACGCCGGACGCTAAACCACATACTCGGTGGGCAGTTATACAACGGCTAGCTCCAGAGATAGGCCTACGCGAGGATCGGACACGATTCACGCATGACACAAGCAAGGGCAAACAACACAAATATTTGCAATAACACACACTGGGGCTATCAACAAAGCTGACGGAGCGTGTCAGGAAACCGGAAATCATCATGCGGAATCATCTCGCAATACAGAGATGACAATTCATTTACGGGAATGTATTTGGACTGCGGAGGGAATCCCACACAATACGAGGAGAATATGCAAACTCCCCAAACACAGAGTGGAGCCGAGACTTCACCCCACGACCCTGCAGGGGTATAGGACTTTTATAAAATATTTTAGCTTATATGGTTTTAATAACTTTTTTTACAACGAAAAAATCCAAATGAAAATTGGCGAGTTTTAAAAATGTGTGATAACAAACATTTAATTGAAACGGATTTAATTCGATTTATCTGACATAGGCTAATTTAAACTATTTAAAAGTCCAAGTATTGCGTAACTATTAACGTTTAGTTGTCAAGAACCCCAGAATCAAAACCAAATAGACCCTCTACCAGCTTTTATTTGTCGTTGTGATGTTAACTGGACAGCTGATTTTTAAATGATAAATGTTTTTTTTTCTAGGTTCCGTTATCTTAAGAGATGAAATATGGATCAATATCTATAATGCCCATAGTCACTCTTCTGTTAACTATAGGCTCTGTAATATGGAGTGTGGTATGCTACAACATCCATCGGTTATCAGGGTTTGTCACTGCATTGGTGTTAGGGTTCAGCTGCCCTGTGCTGCCGGGGTAGGACCCCAGACCTCCAGTGACCCTGTACTGGGTCCACAGCTGGAAGGTGGATTGCCAGTCTGTTTTTATATTAGAGAAAAGTGAGGCATTTTAATATAAGTTTTTAATATAAAAGACTTTAAACATTTTATTGGAGAATTCATTTCCTGAAAAAAATGTGAACATTTAATTAATATCTGCAGGTTAAATAATTGTTGAGTATCTTTAATAAAACTCAACTTCCATACCACGTGCTTGTCCTATGCATTATTGCGGGGGTCCAGAGTCTATCCTGGAAGCTGTGGCTGTAAGACAAGGGATAACCCAGAATGTGGCTTCCCTCAATAAAACTCATTCATTCCTATTCTGCTCAAAACAGTTTATTCACTTATTTGATATATTACAATTTATGTCAGCATAAGAACAACTTTATTATATGTAGAGCTGTAGATGTAATCAATCGTTCTTTTAAAAATTCAATCAATTAATCAATCTATTAATTCTTAAATTTCTAGAGGAAATTACTTGGGAATTCCATTTGATTAGTTTTATTGCTGAATTTGATACTTGCTAGTGCAGTTGGAAACTTTATTTCATGTAACTAAAAAGTCGTCTGTAAAAGGGCACTAAAAGTCACCATGGTACAATCAGTGTTGTTTCCCAGTGTTTTCATTATAGCTTTATTGTCTGTCCGAGCTGAAGTCGGGTGACCAGATGATCCATGTCATCCCGGACACTTTGAGCTAGGACAGGATTTGTAAACTACCATTTTATTAAAATGACCTATGTGTTACGTGCTGCTTATTTTTGGAGAACCATTGCATCCCTAATCCACACGTTAACTTAGACATGTAGAAATTAAAATGAGGTCCTTGTACAAATTCTAGCTAGCCACTGAATCCTTCTATCATAACGTGCACATATTCAGTAATGCGAACAAACATCACTGATAGATTTAGAAATGATTTAAGAATTAATCATAGATATTTACAAATTAAAATGAGCTCATTGTGTTCTCATTTAAAAGCAATAATCTATGAAATTCTAGCTAGCTGCAATAATCAATCAAATTTTAGCTAGCTGCTGAATTTATTACACATTGATGTGCACATGTGCAATAATAACAAATTGGAAACATCACTGATAAAACTTGAATCAATGTATGGATTACATAGTTGCTGCTTACCAAATAATTAGTGAAATGGTTAGGGATGGTTGAAGGAAACCGCCAGCCCCAGCTCACGGCTGCAGTTAAGCTTTGCTCTTCTCAAGAAACTCAAAAAATACCGCATGATACTGTTACTTACAATGCTTTGGACAGTTGATTAGCAGTAAAGTGGTGCATTTTAGGATTGCATTATAGTTCTGCTAAAAAACAGCAAAGTGCTGTATTTAAAAATAACAGTAAATACTGTTGAAATCCTGCTGTAAATTAACTGCAATCATTTACAGTGTAGCAACTCCACCCATTCATAAAAGTTCCAGAGCTGAAAACATATAAAGGACTATCAAGGTACATCAAGAAAGAATGGAGTCTGTATCTATTCAGCCGGACTGCAGGAGACAATGTGGAGTGAGCACTCTCTAAAGTCCCAACACAATCCAGTTAAGCCCGCTGACTGCAAACAGACCATTACAGTGATACATGGTTTGGTGTCTTGTACGTTAATCAATTAAAGTATAGCTGGTGTGGAAATCCACCTCCACAGTCATCTATGTAAACAGTCTGCCCCCTAACCAAAGTACTGGCCATTCATCAAACCCAAGGCTTTGGGGCATCTTAGCAGTCCTCCACATGGATTGGAAACAGTGCATATTCAAGCTCTCAGTACTCATATAAACCTGTCTACCATTTAATTTAAAAGAACTCCTTCATAAATACGACAAATCCACTTAAGATGTGTGGCTTAATTTTGTGGTTCATTCCATGATGTTTAATACACCCTCCTGTATGGCTCCTTACATAATATAGCTCAGGATGAAGAGTGAGATGTATTTTGTCATCTCCAGTCCTGTGAAGTTGTTCCTGGAAGATGTGCTATCCAACCCCATGAAAGTCTGTGCTTGTCTCAAGCATAGATGCTACATTAACTCCTTAATTTTCTCCACTACAGTCATTGCAGTATTCCTAAGGAGAGCAGGATGGCAATGATCATTATGTTGCATACTGTCAGCTCAGGAATTACTGGCACCCTTTAAGATAATGGGTAAAAATGATTGCATTAAAACAATACACTTAATGATTCAAATATCCTGCTCAGTTTGGGGATGTCATACAATGTTAACACAATATTTCAAGCACAAAACATTTGACTGAGTGGTGCAAATTTATTTCTTCAAAATATGAATTTCAAAATTATTAGCTGTAATGAATCAGGCATTGGTCCTACCTACCGGTCCTAACCTTAACCATAAGTAACCATACAAAATATAGGACTATTGATATTTTTAGTTTTTTGATTGCAGTCACTTGTTTTTTATGAAATTGAGGTTCCCCTTGTGGGGACTGAAAAATGGTCACCACAGCATCAAAATAACAGGATTTTTAAATTCTGCTTTATGGTGTGAATCAGCAACGTTCTCTTTTCAGCTGAGGGCTCTTTGCTATTCTCCATGGTAATGGATGACAAAGGGAGTTCACAAGTGTGCAACCTCATATTTATACCCCAGGGACACTAGTACCAGTGAAAGGCAGCAATAAAGTTCCTGGAGACCGACTGAAAAATATAGGTTCATAACTGAGGTCACTTTGGTTAGTTTTATTCTTTAGAGGTGGTAATAATTTTGAAACTTAAGGTGAACTGAAGTTACTAAATTGCCCTTAGGTGTGTGTGTGTGTGTGTGTGTGTGAGAGAGAATGGTGTGTGAGTGTGTGTGTGTGAGTGAATGGTGTGTGAGTGTGCCCTGTGATGGGTAGGTGCCCCATATTGGGTTGTTCCTACCTTGTACTCATAGCTTCTGGGATAAGCTCCCCACAACCCTGAATAGGACAAGCTAGTATGGAAGATGGAGAGATGGATACTTTGCAGAGTTCCATTGAAATCATTTATCTGTTCGAAAAGTTATTGTGTTGCAATGTTAACCGAGACCCTTGACAGGAGGTGGTCTCGGTCCGGTCCCAAACAAACCCTGGAGCGGTTTGTGGCGGGAATGTGATCCAACCTCGTTCGAACCCAATTAGCATGTCATACCCGCTCAATATTAGGTCCCTTCTTCCGCTCAGTTATCTGAAGGCAGAGCATCTTTTTTGCAGTCTGAGGTAGTACAGCATTTTTATATGTGTCCTCAAAGTGAATGTGTCATTCTCCTAGTGTAGTGTAACCTGGTATTTTCCACAGATAATTACCATAGCTACGAACAAGCGCCATCTATGATGTTACTCTATGTAAAACTGCATAGAA